GCGTAGCGAGGAAAGTAACTGAAAGACTTCCCTGATCGATTGTATTCCCTAAATGGACAATCTACCCTAGTTCTCACTTACTGAGGGACAATCTCCACTCATTATATATATATATATATATATATATATATATTGCTTTCCACAACCAAATCTCTGTACAACTTTGCATAAGTGATGTACCTGAATACTTGGATGCTAATATCTAAACTGTATTCTTAAATTTATTCACCTAAATTTGAGTTATTGCGGATTATGTACTCTATGTATCATATGACTTTTAAAAACAAACTCTGTATTTGTGGATAATCTAAGCACTATACCCAGATGTACAGACACTCTTTTCTCAACCTATGTATTACGTAATTTTTTTAACATTAGCTTTAATAAAAACTTTAAATCTGTTCTTATCAAAAGGCGAGCCAGTGGAGGGCTTCAAAAGAGAAGAATGACATAGTCAAGACAACAGGATAGGAAAATAATCTTTGCAGCAACATTCTGAATGGAAATGAGCACAGCAGGATTGATTTATCAAGGCCAAAGAAAGAGACATTGCAGTAATCAATATGAGAAAAGCCAGGATGAGAAGTTTAGCTATGTGGATGGATTTAAATGGCCATATTTTAGGGATGTAATACACAAATATCAACAAGGCTTTGATATAACTTCAGTGAGAGAACCTAGAGATATGTCTGAGTCAGAGAGAAAGTCCAGGCCTGAGTACCAAGCAGAATGGTAGTGTTGTCCACAGTGATCAAGAAAGGAGATCGTGGGGAGGAGAAAACTAAAACAGAACTTTTAGTCTATGTAAGTTTGAGCTGACAGACTTAAGGGGAGATCAGAGAAACAGGCTCAGATGATTTTAATAGTATCCATCATTGGAAATTTAAGATTCATGTAATTTTTTTGGTCACCTTCCCTTAATTTTAATTTGCTGTGAAGGGTTTATATGTTTTACATATTTTAAATTAAAGAAAATTTTACTGTCTTGAATTTAAAATGTACATGTAATGCTAAATACTTGACCCATTAAAAAGGCATTTAAAAATCCCAATATAAAATGAAGACTTAACCACTTGAAAGGCCACAAAAAAGTATCAAAATTTAATATAGCGAGGCTGTTGAAAATATTCTAAGTTTTGTAACTGATCACAACTTGCAGCCATTTGGCTAAATGGAGCCAAATCTGCTTTCCAAAAGTAGTGTCCTACTGATGTCAATGTATTAGGATGTCTAATGGAGCTGCAGGTAGGGAATGCTACAGTTCCAAGTTGGCCAATCAGGATCAATTATAATCTGACACGACTGCTTTGGCAGTATATCACTAAAAACTGATGAGATGATTGCATGCTCGTGGCCATTTTGGAAATGTCTTCACTTTAAAACTTAAAAAAAAAAAAGTGAGTGATCATTAGATGCAGATATAAATGATGAAAGGAGGGGGTGTTCCAAATTGACATTAAAATATTCCACTGCATTTATTATTTTTGTTAACATGAAATTGCTTCTTCAGCAAGAGCACAACTATGCTTTCTTATTAAGGTCCATTTAAAAAAAAAATCTGTCTTTTGGATCAACTGAAGGATGTTTTCACCTACAGCCCAAAGACCAGACATGTGATCCTCTCAGCAGTATGGCAAGGTTTTGATGACATGACACTAAAACCATCCATTAGCCCTTATACCATTTATACCAACAGTGCAGCTGCACTATTATTGAAGGATGGGTATTAACGCCAGGGAAGTCACACTAAATGCTGTTAACAGTTTTGACAGGGCGGGGGCATGCTAGACAGTAGACATTAGTAAATAGTAGTGAAAGAACTTGAAAACCCTTAAACGTTCCTATTAGTCTGCACCAAGTCCAATACTGACATCTGCTTATGGAAGAAGATGCTACATCACCACGAGCATGCTGCGGAGATTATGAGTTATACTTGGAATTCCATCCATTTACTTGGATCAGCTTTTACTAAAGAGTGGTTTTCCCCACTACTAGCTCTGTAAATTGGAGGTTACCTTTACAAATGCCTAGGGTTGGAGAGTGGAGGATATGGACAACAACCAGATGCTCTAATCATCAGGGATTTGTTAGACCAGGCTTATTGTACAATAACCTATTAAGATGAAGACAAAAACTTTTTGGATAAGCCTATTCATTTTAAGCAGGAAAGGATTTATTGTATATTTCATCTACTGCATCATTACTACTGTGTACCCATCCTTCATGCCACAAAACAAAGAACAAAACACATTTTCCTAACTAGCCCTCTTGTTGATTTTTCTGCAGAAAAACGTGGGCTATCTAAACCAAGGAGGAAAGAAAAACAAATCTCCAAAAGACAAAGCCTACAATACAGAGAAGTTCCTTGGGCTGTAACCAGAATGGGTTTGCTACTCATTAACTGTCAAAGCAGATGAAAAATAAAAACCCGAAAAAGGTTAGAGACCTGGAAGAGGTTGAGAGAGCAGAAATGCATCACATTACACAAGACAAAATTAGTAAGATTTAGCCTTCTAGAAATAAACACTCATTTCCTCTTCATCACCACTGTCGCAAGCTCGTCAACTACATTAACATACCTGGGTAAAGAAAGGAACAAAGTCCTAGTGAACCTCAAAAACCTACAGAAAAACGGCCCAAGCCATCTGCTTTCCAGCAGAACTAGCTCTACCGGAGGGCAACCCCCTCCAATACTTCACTTCTGCCGGTAACGAACCGCAATAGGACTACACACGTGCTTCTCGTTTAAAGCCATTAACTGCGTTAACCAGCCGCTGATCATCCTGATTTGGGGCAGTCGCAGCGACCAGGTTTCTCCAGGTGAAGGGGAGGGGAAGGAGAGAGGCTCCCAGTCGCTCTGGTGCGGAGGGAGAGGAGAGCGGGCGGGGAAAGGATGAAAGGTGATGGGAGAGCAGTGGAAGCAGTCAGCCAGAGAAGGCTGCCCCTGTGCTGGCAGCTGGAGCAGCCTCCCTCCCAGGGGAGGGCGGACAGCCGGTGATTAGCGTGTGAGCCGCACCGCGAGCCGAGCGGAACGCTGCTGCAGCCAGGCGCGCACCCCACACCGCGGCAGGGAGGGTGCCAAGCCCCGCACAGCCCGGGAGATAGCAAGCGGGGCAGGAGACAGAGCAAGGCACCGAAGCAGCCGGAGACGTACCCAGCACCACGCAGACCACATCCAGGAACACGAAGGGCAGCCGCGTCTTGTCAAACATCCTGCCAGCCCTGGGCGCCGGCTGCTGCGCGGCGAGGGACGCGGACTCCGGCGGGGCTTGGTGCCTGGGGGTAGCGGGAGAGGCTCTGCCGCATCCAGTCAGCGCTCCGAAACGAAGCGCTGCAGCCAACGGCGCCTGGCACTGGCCGCTGCTGCTGCCGCCACTGCGGCTCCTACCCGGGCTGCGGCTTTAAGGAAGGGGCGGGCCCCGGCCGGGCTGCGGGCGCGTGCGGCCGCCCCTGTGCAGACGTTCCACTCCGGCACCGCGCAACGGCCGCCGGCCAATCGCCTTGCTCCGCAGCGCGCTACGTGTCCCCGCCCCGGCGACCGAGATTCATGGCCCGCCCTCACTTTCCGCCGCAGCCCCGCCCTCTGGCGGCCGCGAGGGAAGGCGGGAGTTGGCCGTGATCCCTCAGCTCCCGCTGTGCGGTGGGAGCGCGACCGCGTGCAGCCCGCGCCTCGGTGACCGCCCAGCTGGGCCAGGCCCTAGAGAGCCCGCTGTGAGGGTACTGCCCGAGCTGGCTGCGTGGTCACCCGGGGCAGTGGCGGGGGAGAGAGGTAGGGTGACCAGATGTCCCGATTTTATAGGGACAGTCCCGATTTTTGGGTCTTTTTCTTATATAGGCTCCTATTACCCCCAATCCCCATTCCGATTTTTCACATTTGCTGTCTGGTCACCCTAGAGAGAGGGGCAGAGTGGTCTGTTACCCAGACACTACTCCCCTCTTGAACCCCGGAGTCCGGAGTCTCTGGAGTCCTCTGCTGGCAGCGAGTAGCTGTGAATCACACCAAGAATAACAGCCTACTACTTCTATCAGTCACTCTCCTAGCGCAAACCCTAGCAGCCTATGCTGTGGCTCTAGCCGTCCAAACCCTGCTGATGACCCAAAGTAGGAGGTGGTCACTATATATGGTTCCACAGGATAAAATTTCAGTTTTTCAGGGTTGTTGTTTTTTAAATTAGGAAATTACATCCAAAACTGCATTAAAAGAACATTAATGTGGTGATGTCAAGCACTAAAATGACAGGGAATTCCAGAATTAAGGTTGCCAGTGCAATTTTTAAAAACACTACTTTTTACTTATTTCCCCACCATCACTGGAAAAGGGACTGAAAAGTAAAAAAAAGTCAGATAAACTTTTTTTCCCCTCACCAAAATAGAAAGAATTTTTAATTTAGAAACTTTTAATTGAAAAACTAACCTTTTCACCCAAATGAAATTCTTTTGTGAACATTTTTGTTTTGGTTGAAATGGCTTTTTCCAGCAAAATGCTGATGGAAAAATCACTAGTTTAATACTGATATAAAACAAAAATCCATCATTCAAGCCCCTGAGCATGTCTACATATTCTTAAAAAACAAAATTGCAGGCAGATTTACTGACACTACACGCAGAAACACTAGACCCAAACTATTCTGAGATTTCCCATGTATCCTACCTACCTTCTACTACATCTGTCAGTAAACAGATGGGCTTTGTGCTATGCCTGGAAGGTTGAAAAACAGGCTCTGGCAGATCAACAAGGGAAACAAGTTCCAGGGTTGAAGATGTTTTTCTAAAGATGCTCTATCTCCAATCCCTTAGAGTTCAAATTTAGAGACTGTCAATGAGCAACTTAGCTGATCTCATCTCTCAAGGTAATACATTTGGGGAGGTGTCTTGAACAGCTAGCAGTCGAGCCAATATGACTTTAAAGATTGAGGCTATGTCTACATGACAAGCGCTACAGCAGCAGCAGCTCCACAGCTATGCCGCTTGTAACATAGATGCTTCCTACATCAGTGCAAGGGGTTTTTCCATCAATGTAGTTTATCCACCTCTCAAAGAGGTGGTCACTAAGTTGACTGAAGAATTCAGCCGTTGACCTAGCTGCATCTACATGGGGTTAGGTCAGCGTAACTACGGCATTCAGAGCATGACATTTTTCACAGCCCTGAGCAATGTAGCTATGTCGACCTAATTTTTAAGTGTAGATGAGGCCTACACAAACACCTTGAATTGTGCTCAAAAGCAAATATGAAGTCAAGACCACATACAGAGCACGGATGTAATGTGCTTTGCAGAGATCACAACTCGTAAGCAACTGGTCTGACATATTCTACGTTAAGTAACACTTCAGAGTGGTCTTCAAGCATATCCCCAAGTAGAGTGAATCACAGTTGTACAATCAGGAAGTGACAAAGACTTGACTATTCATAGTGAGGTCCAGTTCTGAAAGGAAAGTTTGCAGTCGCTTTGATAACTGGAGTTATGGCCACTACTTCTACCCTGTAATTCAGAAGCAGACAATGGTCCAAAAGAACTTTTAAGTTGCAAACCTATTTGACCAAGAGAAGAGGGAAACATATACCCCCACAAGTACTGTGGATGTTTCCTTTTACCCACCATGTTATCTTTGTCTTGTCCAGATCAAACTTCAGACAGCTCTTCTCATCCACATTCTTGTCTCAGTAAAGTAATGGGAAAGCCAGGACGGCTTTCGTCTACTTTTAAATGGAAAAAAGTTATTGAGATGAATGTCATTAGCAATAGTGGTGGCACTGCAGCACAAAACACCTCAAAATGGGGGCTTAGCCACCTAGCACGCAGGATAAATTAATTGTACTTTGTTACCTTGAAATCCTTATGTCAATCCCTCAAATTAAGTCCTTTGACTTAGAAGCCATTTGTGCCAATTAGGTAAAACCTGCATTGGAGTGGGGAGGAAGCTCTGCACTGTCTCAAGAGACTTTGAGTCAGAAATCAGTCTCTGAAAGCTCCAAGCTTTCCAGTGCACTGGTAGAGCACTTCCCAATGGTACATGTCTTTGTGGGACATGGCTTATTTGCACCATTATGGAGACCAGCCCACAGAAGGTAGGGGGTGAACCATGACCATTTAGTTATAGTTCATGTTGGGGGTGTTTTTTTCTCTGCCCTGCCTTTGGGGATGCTCAGGAAGGAATTTTGCTTCCTCACACACCCACATAAAGACCAATATGATTGTTGTTGTAATTTGTGATCATAATCATTATATTATCCACATTAACTATTCTTTGAATATCCCTGTTGTTGAGCTATATCATTGGATAAGTAGCTTGTAGTGGAGATGTCTGGCAGAAGCAGAAATCATGTTTAACATCAAGGTTGTTTTTTTTTAACTTTTAATACATACCAAATAAACATCAGAACTTCTAAATCTCAATCTAATTTTCTCTGTGCCAGGAACATTCTGTAGTGATCAGTTACAGTGACTTTATGTCTCATGTACACTGGCAGAACTGTTGTTAAGGGTCATAGAGCAACCATGAATTGGGTCCCTGACTACAAAAAAAGAGACACTTTCTTGTCCAGGTACTGATTCACCAAGGTACTTAAGTACATGCCTAACTTTAAGCACAGAATTAGTCCCATTTAAATCAATGGGACTATCCACCTGCTTAAAGTTAGGCACATGCTAAAGTGCCTTGCTGAACTGGGACCAGAAAGTGTGGCTGAAATATTCAGTCCCTCCAATGTGCATTGGTTGTCTTTGACTTTAATCTGCCTCTTAGGAATCTCCAGTAAAGCAGTGAAATCACATTATGTCCAAATTCATCTCATGTTGTCATGTCTATATTATGTAGGTCAGACTAGATGATCAGAACGGTCTCTTCTGATCTCAAAATCTATGCATCTCCTCTTGGAGTAGAAGGTTGGAAGAAGGCAGGAGACGATACTCTCAAAAGACATATTGTCCTTTAATTAAAATACATCCTTGCTTGATAATGTAATTTGTCCCAGACACCACAAAATACCTTCTCCTTCCTTCTTTCTTTTTTTCTTTTCTCCATTCCCCCTGTATTTTCTTGTGGAGCAGTTGAGCAATAAAGGATGTTTATGACCAAGTTCATGTCCTCAGAATTTGTTTTGCCTCTACTAGTTACCCCAGAAATTATCGATAATGTTTTCCCCATCCTCCTTAATAGCTTTGTTTATGCTACTACCCATGTCTTAGGAAATCTACTATCTTTCTCTGGTGATACTTACTTGCTGAGTAGGACTAGCCAAACAGGACTCTTAAAAGCAATTAGCAATCAAATAGACGAGTGACTTCAGTGTGTGACGAGATTTTCCCAAGCTTACAGATGAACCACCCATTTCAGGATTTAGCTTTAGTGGAAGGCTAGTCAGTAATTATACTAGACATGCAAAATTAAAATTAATTAGGACTTTTGGTGCACTCAGAGCCTGATTCTGTCACCCTTAGTACCTCCCTTACTAAGAAATTAGACCCTTTGAGTCAGAATATCCACTTGTGCAGTAATAACTGCAGGAGGAGATTAAGGGGAAGGAAAGCTCTGAAAAAATCCCCATACCAACTTTCTCCTACATCATTCTATCAGAGGAACAGGATTTGTCTTCTGTGTGATGACATATGGGTGTGCCTCTAAACTTGGAGGATCCAGATTTTACTCACTTGGGTGTCTCTGACATCATTACCATAAGCCTATTAGTTCTCAAGTTGTTCATAGAGTCTTTCTGAAAAAGAACTATGTAGGCTAAACTTGAATTTCTAATAATGAAAGCAAGCAGAACCTCCTTTCTTCTCTCCCCTTCTTCTCCTCCTCCCTTTAAAGAAAAAAAGTTCAGGCTTTCTTTATACCTTTTAAATTGTCATAGTTTGAGAACACTTATCAAACATTGTAGACTGTGTCTGGCCAGTGTGGTCCAGTGACTAGACACCTGGCTGGAAGTTAGGAAATGTGAGCTTTATTCCTGGCTCACTCATCAATCACTTCTGTTTCCCCCCCACACACCCTTTATCTGCCTTGTATTTAGACTTAAGGGCAGAGACGGTCTCTTACTATGTTTGCACAGTACCTAGCACAATGAGGCTCTGATCTCGGATGGGGCTTCTAGGCATTACTGTACTACAAATACATCATCATCATCATCATCATTCATCTCTGCAACTGAAAAAATGCAAGATTTGTTTCTACTACTTTATCATTCCTGTCATTGCTGCTGCTTCTTTCTGACCTAAAATAATAATGAACAAAAATTAAAAGAATAGTAATAATGTAATCACTGGGCTGGGGTGCTGCTGTGAAGAGTGGCTGGAGTGGTGGAAGCAGCACCCCAGTACTGGTGTGGGTACAGGAGTGAGTCTGGCTCATTAGATCTGGCTTCTTGATTGGAAGCCAGGCTTTTGGCATGGAAATAGGACAGGATTA